GTATTACTAATACACGTATACTTTCGAGGAATTTCGAATACAAAATGTTTAAAAGAAGAAAATGTTTTTAATCGCACGCGAGTAACTTTTTCCTCGTTCGCGGAATTCGTTCGTTCGCCTGGAAATCGCGTGATCGATCACAGATTCGCGGTGGTCGCTTTCGGCGCGTGCTCGGCACGTTCGATCCGCCGATCGGCGGATATATCGATTAATCGTCGCGTGACTCGTACGGGAGACAGCCGTGGACCTCACTGAGGACGCGTCGAGAGAAGCGAATTCGGGACTGTGCGGCGCGGCACTACTGTAAACGAGCGCGGTGGCGTCATACCGATCCGAAAATAAATCCCGCGGGATTCATCGGGTAGGGTGCAGGAATTCCGGCACGTGGGACGTGTCACGAATATCAGCGTAGACCCGTATGTGTTTTCATTTCTCGTGCACAGGTGCGCGCACAAATGCGTAGAACGCGTGGGTGATTCTAGACTAAATTCGTTTGTTTCGTATCCAGATTAATGACTCGATCGTGGGAACCATTATGTAATCTGCACTATATAGAATAATGGCTATTGGTGATTATATAGATCGAATTTAGCATGTAAAGGAATAATTAGATCAAAGCCACTGAAAAAAATGTAATGCGAATGACATAACTTTGTGAAGAATCTTTCTGGTTTATTTAGATTAAACTCTTATTAAGATTTATTACTAATATCAAAGCTCTCTCGCATTTAAGCTTTATCTTAAAGTTAATTTTACGTCAGCTTTAATACAGGCTGATATATTAACTTTTACACTATATTCCTCTGTGAAGAGATAAGACAAATATCATTACGTTTATTACGTGTCTTCACGGCATATATGTATGTATGCATTACATTACAGAAATTTTATTTAAAAACAAGTTTTAAAAATAATTTTGCAGCGTACGAAATGAGCTTGGCTTTATGAACCAGTGAGTCAAAATTGCAAACATGCGCGGCGTCATAAAGTATACACAAGACTAATTTTAAATCCACAATTTTAAAAGCTATGTTTACTCAGCGTAAATTTTATTCTTAATACCGTTACGTTGAATAACACATAGGTGTCGCATTCTTTATCTTAGAGCTATCACTCTATTCTTTTTATGTATGAACCTTTTGTTGACCTAATTGACTTAATTAATCCTTAATTCACTTCAACTCACTTTAATTTATCAGAGAGAATTTTTAGTAAAAAATATAATTATAATTGTGGGACATCTACTATATACGTTTGCAGCCAAATGCGATCAAAGTGCATGATGTTAGCTGGCAGCTGCAAATCGATACATCTCAAAGATGGATCAATGACCAGCCAGAAATTTGTTTACGATTGATCGTGGACAGGGTTGACGGACATATGCATGTAAGTGCATATACGTATTATAAGTTTATGAGTGTACAGCACTCTACATATACAATAACAACATATGTTTAGTTTTGGTCACTTTCCATGTCTTTTCTGGGACACATTGCCGCAAAAAGCTTTTGCATATTCTCGAAAATTGTAAATGTTAACATATCAGCAGGATAATCGGATTAGCATAATATTTTTAGATTCGCTCTCATAACATTCTTTCGAGATGCATTTTTCACGATTCGCGAATTGCATTCCATATTTATGACGTTGAAAGAATACTTAAAGTATATCACCTCTAGGTATATGTAACCAAATGCTTTCGTGAAGTCAACCGCTTGCGAGTTGAGAAATATTTCAGCGATGGAAAGATACGTCGCGCAACGTGCCAGGCATCATGAATAAGAGATTAGCCAGTGCCCTTTTACGATCGAGCGAGCCTGACGCCGATTCGCGATGTGGCGGCTGTGTCAAACTGGTCCGCCCGTCGGTCACTCGTAAGCTCTTTATTTTTATCCAACGTGCCCCCGATATTGTAGAGAGTTCTCGTAACATCGCGTCACGCTAAATTCGGATAAGGAAGCAAGCCATATATGTTTCCTAGGAATCTATGCGTCAATTGATCGATACGCCGATCATGCGCGCAATTGCTTCCAAATTTGGTTCGTAATTGCGAGTCACAAGATGAATGTCCTTATTTTGATTTAAGTGCTAAGAAGAAATCGATGACTGCTATTATTAGAAATGGAGTAGAAATCGCACACTCATTTCTCTACATTTACGATGAGATAAAGATCATCGGGCGTTAACTGATTTGCGAGCCGTTAAATGGTATACTTATATAATTCGTGAGAGATGAGTCGAGGATGCCAGAATTCTCATCGCAATAATCATTTTTAGCGATTATGTTGCACTGAAGTATATATCTACAGCAAAAGTAGGTTAGTGAAAGAAACGATTTGTTAAATATTTCTAAAAATGCATTTTATTAGATTCGAGTAAAGTTATTTGTAATATGTATAGTTTTAATAGCAGACATAAAATAAACATTGCAAACCTGAAAAAAAATGTCAACATAAATTTTTATCGACGTTGCTAGTAACGATGATTTTGTGGTAGGACCAGTGGAAGAGAAATCGTTTTACAGCATAAAAATAATAATTTATTCAGCATTCAGCAGAAATATAAACGTACAGTATACTCTGCCGAGAGTTATATCTGTTCGAATGAATATAAATGAGAATTGCAGTTTGACAACAAATTGAATTGATAAATACAACCAAGCGCGGAGCTTGACATTGTTATTTATAAATTTTCTAAATATTATAAAATATTGTTAATATACCTTTGCCTGAAAATCAAATCGAGGGATAAGAACAATTAAATTGTTCCAAATTATTCGTTTGATCGATCATTTTTATTCTTATATACTAAATCTAACAAGTCTCCTAACTCCTTTGCCAGACACATTCGAATGTACAATATATTCTTTGTACGTGACTTTAATTGTCACAATTTGTTAATTAAAGAAATTGATCGTAAAATGATATTAAATTTAATAATCGAAAACCAGCTTACCTAAAATGCAGCTTACTGTGAATATAAACTAAAACAATTATAAAGCGATTTCGGTGGTTACATTGAAATTAATCGTTTACACCACATATGATTTTTACAAGAGCGACGATAAAAAGAAATCGCCACTCCAAATTTTCTTGTTTTTTTTCACACAAAAGCTATATCTTTTTCTGAATGCATCTACACGAAATCTGCTCTTCAATATATAGACCTATCTATGTATCAAGTAACGTTATATAAAACGTACGCATAATCAACGGGGAGGACTGTTCACGTAGCATTTTACAGAATCGTTACCGCGTAATGATACTTACATTTATTGTGTACATATAGGTGTATATGATAATAACAGTAAGTATATATGCGCATATAATAATACTAAATCGTAATAAGCATTTTTTCCAGTATCTCTAACTGTGACGCGACGCTTTTAGCTCGTACAATGCAGATGCACTCACTTGTACGATAAATCATAATGCTTACAATAAGTCAACAGAACGCACGGTTACGTAATTATAGGCGCGTTACGTCTCGTTTATCGCGAAATTGCACGTTTTCAAGGAAACTATATCACGTATTACTGCATCATCGTAAAAAGTACGTACTTCCGTCGTGACACCCTTATTGCGTAAGCTGTTCAGACAGGAACTCGATAAAAAGGGATTATATGTAACTGCAATCATTTTATATCACGATATTATTTACTTATTAAAAAAGGACTCAAAAGAGGATCGATTCTGTACGAGTTTTATGACATAAAATAGTAATATCTGTTATTGCAAAGAATATTGAATATCGCGTGTTATTTCTTAAAGTATACTCTGGAAATTATGATAGGTCTCATTCAGTTAACGAATTAAAATGAAGTATATGACTCCACTACGTTAAACCGATGCCAACAAAAGATTTTTGCGGCGTTTTGTGTTTGCAATTATATTAATTAAACTTAATCTACATTGAATCCAGTCTGAAACTAGTCTGGACCATTAGTGCTAAATGAAACATAAATGGCGCAACAAATGTATTTCGCCGCTATCTTATCGACGTAAATTAGAGCTGTGAGACACATGCAATCTTCCCGATATGCCGTGTCGTCGAAAAAGGAAAGTCTCGACAATAACAGAGCTACAAGCTGTCCTCTCGGAAATATATATCTAAAATATTCACAGAGCGCAAACTAACGACACGTGGAACTCCCAAGAGAAGAACAGATCTACGCGAGGCAAATTTTTACAGCTTGCGTATAATCGCACATGCTTTTTCTATATGCGCAGTAGCCTTCTCAATTTTGAATACCAAAGTAGCATACTCAATTTTACTTTATGTTCATATTGCTCATCGAAGACAAAGTCCGTTTTACGTCATCCGACATAAGAAGATGCTATGAATATTTAATGTAGATATTTACGTAATATGTACGCTTAGAACGAGATGTTTCAAAATTTTTTCCGATATTATTTCTTTTCAAATATTTAATTTTTCAAACACAAGCGCAAAAATAAGAGAATTTTATGTACATATGTGTAGAAAATTCCTAGTTTCTACACTATTTATTAGAAACAATTTTGTCCCATTGTGCAAAATTAAATAAAATTTAGTAAAAAGAAATCCGTCTAATATTGAGGAAGCTAGAAATTAGAGTATTTTACGAGTCACAAACCGAACAATTGCTTAGCGGAAAAGAAACTATCGTCTTCTTATAAATCGACCGAATTCGTTTACGGTCGGAGATATCTAGACCGCGCTGCAGTTAAAGCACTCAAACTCGAGCAGCGAGCAGTCTGTTTGCTAGGCGATTCATTGTGATCCTCGAATCCTTTGGGAACATACGGAAAATTTGGTTATTGCAAATCCACTCGTCGCTTTTATCGGAGCGCACACGAGCAGCTTATTGAGATCGAATATTATGCGTGGCATATCTCGCTTATAGAATGTGATGAATAATTTTAACGGATAAACCGAAACTACAAATTTATTTTAGAGCAAAATTGTTTCTTTAAAACAGAATATTTTAAGCCATTGCGCGTGAAATATTTAATTTGTTTCAAAATACAATGCAATTTTTTAAATTTGTTAATTGCATAAATTATTCCCGAAAAAAATATTCTATTAAGGTGATTCGCTTTTATGATTAGTTATAGAAAATAAGAAAAAGCCTACGTTAGTATTGTGCGTAAAAAGTTCGAACTTTGCCTTTGAAACAAGATCTGAACTGAAACAAATTATATAAGCACGCGATGCGCATTAACAAGCATAAATTACTATTTAGCAGGCATTGCGTCGTAAAATCTATTCTTCAGTTGGCAGTGGAAATGAAACCATTTTTGTAGGGATTCGTATCGACACGCGATAACATATATTTGAGATTCGGAGCAACGACGGCTTATAAAGGCTACGCGTGTTACCTATATAGTACAGTAAAATACGAGCTGTGGGATTTCTGGTTTTGGAACGAAGCGGTTAATACCTGAATTCTCACCATGACCGGCTACTGTATGTATCTGAAAAAAAAAAAAACTACACATTAATGTTTCAAATAGATAACAAGAGCTTACTTTTTGTTGAATGTAAATAAAATTTTACTTCAATAAAAGTTTAATAAAGAAATGTTGAAAAATATTGCATTTACCCAGATATTAAAAAAATACAAATAGAAATATTCATGAAATATATAAAATTTTATTAAAAATACATAAAAAAGAACTGGTATATGACGAACAAAATATCACTATTGTTATTATTAAGTGAATTTGATTAAAAAACATAACTAGAAAATTTTGCTTTACTGACCTGAGCAACGGTCTCCCGTTGCTGGAAGGAACTCTTTTCGGTGTCTGGCAGTTTCTCCATTTTCGTGATTTCGTGAACAAGCTTCTGACAACCATCGAAATCTCGCGATCGTGGGATTCCAGGGGCTTTCCTCTTCCTTGATGCGTTCGCCTCGTGGTCCGCGATGACCGTAGATTCTTTCCCGTCGAAAGTTTCCGAGTGAATAATGGTAAAATCGCCTAAAAACTGCACTGACTTCTTCGCGCTTACTTTAGCGAGTGGCTTATGCATTTCTTTGTCAAATACATACGAGGCGGTCTTTTCATACTCTTTCATTACCTTCGATTTCATTTCCGTTGTTTTACAGATTGAAATATCGGGAAGATGTTCCGGGACTATCGAGGCGAACGTTGAAGATTGAGCATTATTAAACGTCTTTCTGAGAATGTCACCATCGTTTGATTTAATACTTCTGCCTCCGTTTGCTTTTCCCTTTTTCACCGTTATTACTTCCGGCCGTTGCGGGTTCCTCGCGGCAACGGGCGCCGCTTGGCTCTTAGTAGACTTACACCTAGCTACTTTCTCTCTATTGTTAATTTTAGAATGTCTCTCGGCGGTCGTTACGTCGCCCCGAATCTCGTAATACTTGACGAAGCTCCTAACTTTACCCGGGGTTATCGTTACAACGTCGCGGGGTGATTGGTCGTTACTTACGTTAGCTACGGGTGTTACGGCCCTGTTATTGTCATTATTATTACAAGGGGTTACGGAAATAGTCTTCCTAGCTATGGCACACTTATCGCTGCTACCCGTCGTATTCTCTACTAACGCTAATGCCGATCGACTCGCGATCCTCTGCCGATCAACGTCGGCTCCGTCGTCCGCGTTTACTTCTTCGTCAGTCTTTTTTCCGCCGCGATCGTGAGTCTCTCTGGAAGTTGTCTCGTATATTCTCCCATCTCTCAGACTGCTTCTGCGCGACGCGTCCGCTATCGTCTCTAATTCTTTGCTGTCGAAAATCTTGTTCATAGTTGCGGGTGCTCCGATAGGAATTCTCTCCTGGAATTTGCTCGTCCGTTGCCGCTCGCGCTCAGCGCTTGTTTTCTTAAGTATAGTCTTGGGAGCGCGAATATCTCGCGGTTTTTTAGACTCTCGTTTGGCATCGCCAGCATTTTTTGCGCTCTTGAACGTCTCCTCGGTCTTTATCCTTACACAGGTTTCTTCTGATTTAATATCAGAAGATTTCTCATCGACTTTTATATTCAGAGAGCTATTCTTTGTGATCTTATCTTTTATACTGCAGGACAATTCCTCGCGTTTTGTTCTCTCAATATTTTTATTGTTTGCGATTTTCTCATCGTTTGCTGCATTATGATGATTATTTTTAAGATCCTGAGGTTTATCCTCGACTTCTATTTTTATGAATTTTTTTTCCTTAACAATTTTCTCAACGCTTGTTGCGTCATTCCTTATGTCTACAGTTTTGACGTTTATAGGAACGTTGTAAACTTCACTTTGAGATTTTTTAAACATTTGCAAGTTAGGACTCTCACTTTCCTTTCCCTTGGAAAGTCCGTTATCGATCGCGACCGAGCAAGCAATACTTTCATCACCACTTATCTTCAATGCTGGTTTTTTATTTTCAGGACTTACTATTTTTAACTTTATGTTACTAAAGTTGCAGAGCAATTCGTTCAGTACGTCATTTTTCACATCACCGGCGTTTTTAGTAACTTTTTCTTTCGTCCCCTTAGAGTCCTTTAAAACTTGGTTCGCCGTAGCTGTTTTTATCACATTATTGAAGTCGCAAAAGTGCTCGCTTTCTTTTGTGATATCTGTATCAAATTCGCCAACTTTATTTGTCAGTACGTTCGGAGTGCTTAATTCTTTGTCTATGTTTGATGGAGTTTGTTTACAAATTACCGCGCAATTTATTGAGATGTCTGCTGAATCGTCGCTCAGCATAGTTTCTAGAAAAGAATTTCGTCTAACCTTTACTGGAACATTTTTCACAAAAATCTCTTCTGATGGCGAAAGTTCCTCGCGATTATTCTTTGATTCTAGAAACTCGCTTGTTTCCTTGTTTTCCTCAATCGACATTTGTCGAGTTTCTTTGATTCTGAGCGATTTGTCTGTGAGATTGTCAATAGAAATTCTTTTCATCCTCGATTCATCCTCGGAATTATGCTGATTTACGTTATCGTCCACATGATCGTTTGAAAAACTTTGGATTGAATCTTTAACGAAAATATTTTTATTCTCAGCAACACATTTCTCTTTGATGTCAGCGCTAGTTTTTTCCAAAAATATTTCTTTTTCCTGCTGTGTTATTTTTTGTGTTATTTCCGCCGCATTTACCTTTTCATCTCTGTATGCGGTTTCTAAACTTTTATCTATAAAGCGGCAAGTGTTTTCTGTAAGTTCGGATGAAACATTTAATATTTCATTTTCATCTTTTTGTTTTGCAGCATATTCCTCGCTTGTGATAGTTTTGACTGACATTAGGATATTTTTCTTTTCGATTTTGAGATTCTCATTGTGCTCGTCCCATGATATTACATTAGAATCGTTTTTACGGATCTTCTCACAATTAATATCATTATTTCTATCATCAAAACACGTTTGTGGAATTCTCTTTAATATCGTGTCAACTTTGTTTGTATCTGTTAACAGAAAAGCATCGTTTTCCCTTGTTGCGGAATTTTCTTTCTCGTTATTCGAAGTGTATGATTTATCTCCCGAATTGCCACCGCAATCTTTTATGTCCGCGAATTTCTCTCGGATTTCAGTCGACTTCACGGAAGAAGTAGTGCTTTGTTCGCCGGCTTGTTCATCGTAGAGAATGGATTCGCAGCTGCGCGAACTATCACACGGCACACCGATTTTTATATTCAAATCGTATTCGGACGTGGAAGGATTCGGTGATTCAATCGCAAATCGTACTTTCATGCCTGCGCGATAATCCGGATTCTCATTGGTTGTTATCGTCGGATTATTATTGTCGAAAATATCATAACCGGATGATTTTTTAACGTTTATCTGATCGCTCTTATCCGTTCTATTTTCGAATCGATAATCGTCGAGTTTCTGAACGAAGTCATCATCATTGAAAGGGTCTTTCCATTTGCCGAGACACTTTTCGAACGGACGGTTCGTTGTCGTCACGCGAAAACAAACGTCGTCGCCCACGTTTAACATAGACACTGTCGACGATTCTTTGTCGTGTAAATCAGCGAGATTCGCAGAAGACCCGTTCGCGAAATCGTCTCTGTTGTATGTAGAGGACATTACGTCCTCGAAGTCGCGCAGCGTGAAAAAAAGCGGTGGATATTTGTTGAGTGCTCTTCGCTTAGACGACGTGACGTCGAGAGAAGGCAGGAATGGTGGTTTCGGCGCGGTCGACTTCGAAACTGGGTCATCGTTTACGTTGTCGCTCATCGCCGAGTTCTCGCTCGCGGATATCGTATCGTCGCGCGATTCCGGGGACTTCGCGTCGATCACGTCTGTCGCGGTGTCGACGGTGCGGTTCTCGCCGTGGTGTTGTCCGCTGACACTTTCGGCTCTCGGACAGCTCGTCGCGGTGTCGCATTGCGGCTGGCTGGTTTCGACGACAGATCGAGATTTGTTCCGTCGACATATCTCTGGCGGGGGCGGCAGAGGCGGCGGTGAATGTTTTTGCTGAAGTGTCGCGTCGTGTTTCGTAGCTTCTATTGCATCGCTGCTCGCCACCGATAACGCAATCGGTGTAGTTTTGATCTTGCGCTTCGTTCGCCGCGGTGGCACGGGTGGCTCAGTCGAATTGTCGTTATCTGCCATTGGAAGAAATATGGTACTTTAAAGAAACATTGTTTAATTTCGATGAAATAGAGGAGCGACAAATTTTGAAAGATTTTAGACCATCTTTTTTGGAATTGTTTAATGAACAAGTTAGTAAATTCGGAACCCGCACACGAGAATAACCACGGCGTTAGACCGTCCGAGACGTACTAAAGGTGTGATTCCTTAGAAATGACAAACTCCCCTTCCTACTACACGGTCAATAACAATGCTTATATGCCATTGCCAAGTCTGACTTTCAGACTACATGTAATTTCATTAAAAAAACATCACACTTGAAATCAAATATTATTAGGAAAATTTAATTGTATCATTATTACAATATATTTCTATGAAATTGCAAAAAATTATATTGAAAGCATAAGCTATTGTTAGTTTACACTTATCTAATTAGACACAGATCTAAAATTTTAACGAATTTACATTTTGTTCTGTAAAATTATTTTAGTATTTGCTGCATAATTAAACAATTCTTTTTCTTAGTTCTGAAAGCTAGACTTATCCGATATTTTTCTTTCAAAAAACGAATAATAAAAAAAAAATTAAAAGGTGTAAATGGTTTAGTAAGTTCGAATATGGCTTCGCTAAACGGATGAAAACAATTCGATTATCAGAGGCGAGTATTGTTGTTTATTTAATGTGGCTGTAATGTTCTAATAAAAATTATATTTTTTCCGGAAGTAGAATTCTTTGCAAGATTTTGCCATATACGATCAATAATGGCGAAAAGCGTAGTAAGAGTTATTCCAGTTTTTCTATTATTTGATATTGTTTACCTAAATGAAAACTTGGCGGCTTGTTCTACTGACGTCGAAGTCTTCTATACTTAGCAGCATACTAGCAGACTTTAGCGCATTATTGTCAACGAGATCAGTCAAGTACAGGCTATTCGCATTGTTATGATTGCCCATAGCGCTGGACGCGGCACTGCTGTAAGCGCTCGAAGTGTTTTGCACCGATGCTACATCCGTGGTTTTCTGAATAATCCACTTGTTCATCATGCTGGACGTTTCCGCCTCTGACGACACGTCGAATTTGATATCACTATAATCGAGAAAACGATTTTTTAATTTCGCAGATACGGTAAATTCCTTACATTTGAACAAAGTTATGGAAGAATAAATTAATTCAAAAAATTATCGAACTATATACGTAATTGGATTGACAATATAATTTGTCATTCTAAATTTAATTCACTCGAAACTATCATTTGACGAATAATTTATTTTTGCAAAACATTGCCAATTTGATAAATTTTTAAGTCAATCATATTCGCTGAAATACTTACTGTAAGTAATTGTTGTCTACAGGGCCTTGGCCCTCGTCACTTCTCAATTCCACGCTTTTCCGAGTAGAGGGTTGCGAGAGGACCAACTCTATCGTTTCGGATGAGCTCTGTAGCATCTTCAGAGCGTCCTCATAGCGGAGATTCAGCAGATTTTGCCCGTTTATCGCTACGATCCGGTCACCTATCGAAAAAATTAATCAAAAACATTTTTATTTTTGCATATTTATCTACCTACTCTTATATTAGTGTCAAAAATTTGTGTTAATTAATCGATTTAGTTATCTCAAATTATAGTTGATAGATTTTATCTATTTATTTTTATTATTATGTTATAATTATAATTTTAATTAGAAATGAGTCAAACATTTTATTTTTACAATACAAACGTTTTACTTGCCTTTATTGACATTTCCGGCCATATCGGCTGATCCGCCGACAGAAACTGCTTGAACATACACTCCACCGTCGTTACCCTCTGTCACTTGCAAACCTATGCTGCCGCCGTGGCCACGTTCCAATTTGATCGTGTGCAAAATTCGTTCCTCGGCAAATGATAGCTCTTCTAAACGAGCCATTAATGATACAGACATTGACTCATCCTCCGGAACTCGGAACGTTTCGTCGTCGGTGCGTATATCGGCATCTATTAAAGAAATGCAATCGGGTTTAAGGGGTGAAACTTTGATATTTTTAACAATATTTATAATAAGTGTCACGTGAAATTTTAGGGAATTTATATAATGTAAATCACATTCAACAAATTTTTTTAAAGTGCTTGAATATCAATTAAATAGTTAAATATCAAAATTCTTTACTCATGAAAATATGATACTTTAATGCTTGCAAAAACTCTTTTTAAATCCTTTAAATTTTTCATTTTTATATAAAATATTTTTAATTATTACTTACTCAGCACGTATGCTTCCGGCATTGGCGATTCGGTGGACCGCGCCGACAATGATTGGATAGATGATTCGGTGTCCGACTTGAGAGATTGCGATTCCGTATCGTCGGTAAGCGCGGTATTCTGTGCCAAACTGCTGTAGATTGCTCGCGTTCCCATTTTCACGCCCAACCGTCGAGGTAAACTAGGTGTACGAAAACCACCCGTCTGCTTTGACACGCCGTAGTTCGGTAAACTGGATGTCTTCATCTGTACAATGATAACACAAGCACGTCACAGAGATAAATATTTTGGAAATTTAGCAGCAGATTTCAACATTAGAATAATGAAAGAATGTAGAGAACGATTATAATAAGTATATTTACCTTGTGCAGCGTTTTTTTCACTTCTGATGAATTCCAAACTTCCGAGACGTCCGAAACAGGAAATTCGTTTTTGCCCGATAGACGAACTTTGTTAATAGCGGCGTAAAGTGCTTCAGGATTATTAGGTTTATCTATTTGATTGATGTTATTAGATGTCAGTTTTGGAAGGGAATATGTGCATTCAGTTTCAGCCTCGCTATTTAAACCGGGGCACCGATAGAGTTTGTCATGCTCCGATTTGGTTTCTTTGGGTTCTAACAAGATTTCGTTCGACGTCATTATGCCTCTTTCAGATTCTTCTTCTGTATCACGTGATTCACCTTCCGGCTCCAATCGCACGTTTACTTGTGCATAAAGAGCGTCCTCTTCCGACGAATAAAAGCCTGGTTCGCGACCGATATCTTTCGTAACTATATTAGCATCTTTTTGAGGATTTTCATTCTCTTTATTTTGATATTCTTCCAATTGCATCGGATAGTTTATTCTCTGTTGCACTTTCACTGCATTCGCTACCGGTATCTTAGTCTTACCGTCGCCAATCTTGGTGGGTTTTGGTGGTGTAATTTTGACTTCCGTTGTCAGGGGTACTCCAAAATCTGTAGAAAAATAAAAATTTTTAATTTTTAAAAATCTATAAAGCATTTTAAATATATATTAATTTATATATTTGTAAAGTTTATCTTGTTTACATATTAATATTACTGCATTTCAGAAATTAGGTAATCTAACAGAAATAGAGTACACGATAATTGAAGAGATTAATAGCATGATTAATTAAAATATTGTGAATTGCGTTTGTATGTTTTATGATTTTCAGCTGATTATGAATATAATTATTGTTGAAAATTTCAATTAAATTTTCTACGATATTTATTTAGATTTTCGTGGAAGAATAACACCGGAATCTTTTGTATGTCAAATTTAGCTAGTTTCCTGCTGTAACTTCTGCAAAGTTTAAAGCATTTCAGCAAATTTAATCAATAGAAAAGGCAGTATACCTTTCGCGAGGCCCTGAAGCGACGTAAGTTCCGAGCGAAGTCTGAGGAAGAACTGATGATGCAGGGACGTGAGCTTGAAGACGTAGTAACTTCTGGAAAATAGAAAGTGTACTTTATGTAGGTCATTATTACAAACTGCGGCACACAGTGCACACTCAATACATATTTCCCCGCTCATCTGCACTTCGCACCGCGCTCACGGCTATTCGCGATCGATCTCTCAAATCGCGACAGGCCAACTTACTTTCGATGATCCATCCTCAGCTTAAGCTTACACCGTCTCCCGTTCAGCTTGCTATACACGACCAGGCAGCTTTTGCTGTAACTCAGTTTCTGTACGTCTCGCCACTGAAAGTGGGCCAGTTCCGTTCTCTCCCTCGGTTCGCCCCCTCGCTCTAACAACTTTAAACCTTGAGCATGTATAGCTAGCCATACATTGCTCTCTGTTTTCCTTTTGCGCGTCTTGTTGTTCTTGCTGTTATTGCCGTTAACGTTATTAATATTATTATTATTATTATTATTATTATTATTATTGTTATTATTATTGTTATTATTAACGTTCTTATTGCACGTTTCGTCGCGGCACATTTTTGCGCTTCTTGCGTGCTCGTCCGAATAGGGAGTCATCGGTGGGTTTTCGCGAGACTTTAATCGCGGCGGAATTCTATCGTAGGCGGTTTCCTTAGCAGATTTTTCCTGGCGATAAGCGCTTTCCGTCGCACTATTGTGTGATAACACGACGTTGCGATTGCTAGATACAGCGTTTTTTCCTTTTTTCTGTTTCTCCATCAGCTTCTCCAATTCCTTCGAGTCTATCGTGGCAATGTAGTAGTGCGAGCCATAATCCGGCAAGGACTGCGCGTGAGTTATGAACATCTCCTCGGCTTTGTTCGAGTCCAAGCCACGGCGGTCGCGGTGAGCTCGGTGTAACTGCGCCCGAAGTGTATCGGCGTCGATGCAGGGCTGCGATTGATGTCGGTCCGCGTTCAATATCAAGGATTCCGGCACATAGTGCTCGAGAAGGAAGTAATCCGCGCAACCGTGTTCCTGTAGGGACATAATATAACAGCTGAGAAATTGCGCGCGGATTATGGTAGAATTATCGCCGCTCTGTCATTGTTTACGTATCAAAGCGGTGCTTTTAATACTACCTATTTAAGCTCTCCAAAGCTGACCTGTATTAACTATTAATAGCTAAATTCCGCAGTGTTCGATAGTTGATGAATTTATAATTAAAAAATTATCACATTATTTTTTTATTCATTTGAAAAAATAGAATTAAAAGATTGAAATATTCGTAAATGGAAAAGTTGACGTTAATTTCTGAAATAGTATTTTCATTTTTATTTTATATTATTTAAATTTGAATTAAAATGTTAATTAGAATTCTTTGGTATTTTGAAGAGTTTTTAATGTTAAAAGTCTTTAAATTTACAGATTTGTGTGAAAATTTGGAGAAAATCTTCTCATTGTCAAGTAGTAAATTTAATCCCATTTCATAACAGTAGAGGGTAGAATCTTCACAGAGAGTTACAAATATTCTCACTACGGTCTCGCAGCTCTTCATTTTACTTAATCCCTATTATCTAGAGTTTAACGATCGTTCTTGAACATTTCATCGTTCCGTATTTCGCGTGGTGGTAATTTCATTTCAGTAGCGCGTATCGTATGAATCTCTCGTTAACTCACGTTGACGTTGTAGTTTCCGAATTCAGCTTGAAGCGCGAGACCCGTCAGATTGATTAATTCGGGATAGGGGCAAACCAGCTGCTGCTCCAGTATACAACGTCTTATTTGTAGGTACAGTAGATGCTTCGATATCCAGCTCCTGAAAGCGATACGGGTAGTTAGTTGTACTCGAGTCATACGTATGCTGCTGTCGGGCGTCGTTTGAGAACAAACCTTATGCCACGAAGAGACGGTAGGAAGAATCGAAGCCGCAGGTACAGCATGAAACTGGTCGGTAAACCTAGGAGACCTTTGCTCTTGCCGCTGCTTAACCATCCTGGTGGTGCGACCTTATTCAATTTCGTGTCCGGTGGTAACATTGCGAAATCTCCGGCCAGTAGCACGGCCAGACCCAAAGTGAAGTTTTCGTCGAGGCTCTCCGCTTGGACAATAGCCTGGAAGAATTTATGCGTATAACGTAAAATAATATTAAATATTTTTCAGAATTGGAAACGAATAAGTCGATATATACATTTCATTGATAGTAATTTATTGTTCTGTTTAACGGAGCAATTAAATGCGATATTCATTGAATATAATATGAATATGTGAAAATGTTGACAGTGGAATGTATTTATTAATTTTTTAACTTAAATGAAATGTATTTATGATGCTATAATAATTCTTGGAGCAAAGCCAATAATAGAAATTTATATGGGTGGGATTTATTTATTTTCGTATTTTAATTAGCATGTTTATTCATGAGATATGTGTAAAATAGAAGCTGTGAGAGAGAAAACACAGAGATAGTATCTATAAGCTATGATTTCTCGCGAAATTATTATGTGAGACAAGCAATTAAATGCAGAGAGCGCGGCTGCATTTGATTGTTCTAAAAATTTATCGTAGTGCGACGCAATACCGATTTCCACCGCAGAAGTAATTTTCTATATTGACGGAAATTTGCGAGAGTAACCCAATTGGGAAGTTCGCGGTAGGTTCTCGAGTCTTGAGCGCTCTTTAAATCGGCTACCTATTAAAAACTGCGCGGTAAAATACTTCAGTCACGTTCGAAAGCTTGAATTAAGTGGTAGATGAAAGCTGCGACCTTAAGATAGAGGCCTGTCCTTTTAAACTACTGAATCTACGCAAAGTTAAATTTACTTTTTCCACTTCTACTTCTTTCTACTTAAATGTTAGCATTTGAACGTTCCAAAAAAAGTTTTATATGTTTTTTTTATTTTTCTTTTTTTATTTTATCAATTCTTAAAAGTCTTGGCTGTGAGTATTTTAACAAAGTAAATTAATTTATATTATTTTAAATTATTTTTCATAATTTTCTTGATTAATATAGTTTTATTTGTTTTAAATAAACTTTTATAAATAATTTATAATAATGTTGTTTTTACATCAATAGATATATATTCTTTTATTGGTAATTTTTTTGATAGTATTGCAAAAAAAAAACATTTATCTTTACAATGAATTAAGCAAAGATTGAAACAAATAGATTTTTATGGAATAAGAAGGAATTGCACGATACGTTCGTCGTTTAGCTCGCATAACTCATGGTTTGTGGATTTGTCGTATATAATGATTAGGCTTTGGCGGCTTGCCAGAACTTCTCGTGAGTTCACGCCGGAATTTGTGGTCTCGTAAACAACCGGCCACGTCTTGGCTTTCGCGGCCCAAGTGTGGGCATGAGAGGCCACCATCGTGTGAGCATTACGATCGAATCAGTTCCGCTTAAGAACTAGCGAATGAAGTATATTTTTAAAAAGATTTTTACCAGGACTGGTTGAATGCGTTCTTTCGTGCACGCGGCAAGTAAAAGCAAATAATTTCTTACGAAGATCTCGAGACGCCGTATATTTCACTTCCAGGTGATACAATTTATTAGCGTCTTGAGGATTTCACAAAGTAGAGTCTTATGAAGTGAAAAGCAAACTCTACGTAATGGAACAGAATAACGCATTTGAAAAATATCACTAGACACTAATACACTCTCAAAATTATTTACTAATGTTTTTAAATTTATTAGTATTTGTTATATTGAATTGACAATGCTTTTAAATTTTCAAATTTGCACATTTACGTATTAAATTGTAACATATTATTTATTAAATTTGACACGAAAGTGTAGTGATTATTAATTATATAATTGATTTGCAAATAAACGAATACCATTTACATTGCGAATGATTGTCAGTAAAATATCGTGATGAATGAAACGTTGATCGATGATATATACTTAATAACATTTTATAATATCTATTATTGTTGCTAATTTTGTTAAAATTTTATATTGCCATATTCAAGATTTATGCTATATTTTGGACTCTATGCTGAAATATTTTTTGATCCAGTGATTTCAGTTCATTCTGATATAATTGATCGGTGAATTGAGCCTCTTATCAGTGACGGCCACTCTTCATGGCGAGTTCTCAATCGGTTGCAGTTTATATTGAGTTTCAATCAATTTTCTTAGGAACGTGATGAGTGACACGATCACGCTTTGAATTTTGGAAAAGATATTCTACTTAGATAATCTTTTTATTAATCATTTACGAAAATATAAGCATAGTTTTAATTTTCAAGAAATTTCTGTTATTTTAATTTAAAATTTGCATTGTGTACTGCTAATATAAAATTAGTAAATATTCAGAGCATTTTGATTCGAAAAGCTTACCTGAAATAGATCTCCGGCGGTGACCTTTTGAGGATCGCAGGTTACTTCTACGCGTTGTCCTGTCAGCATTATTACGACTATCCGACCAGAGTTGCCCGCCTACACAATCGAATGAATCATTAGCGTATCATAATTCTGTGTCATCCTTCTGAAATTTCGTGTTAAACCATAATTATTTACATTACATTTTATTTTCCTTTTGCATTCGCAAAAAAAGATTTTAATGTTAGACTTTTGAAATAAATGTCAGAATATGTTTTATACAAACTATATATTACAGTTTTATTAACTATTACATTATATTATTAAATTATAAATTACAAAGCAGTTGTATGTAATAATATATAAATCTATATTAATATATAAATTAATATAAAAATTAATATAAAAATTAATATAAAAATTAATATAAAATTAATATAAAAATTAATATAAAAATTTGGAATTTATAAAATAATCAATATTATTTGTATAGAGATACATATTCAGTATAAACGAAGGGTGCTGTCAGGATCCGGTATGGTCTAGTGGCTAGGATACCTGGCTCTCACCCAGGAGGCTCGGGTTCGATTCCCGGTACCGGAAATTTTATTTTGCAGCTTTTGTGAAATTTTGTAGAGTATCATCGATAATAGTGATGCAGTTAATTTTATATTCGTTTTGACATTTAGAATTTATTTTAATTCTTTTATCATAAAAGAGCGTTGACGGGTTTTTTTTTCAAAAATACGTACAGAAAATAAATACGAACGTAAGAGATTTTAAACATTTTTACTATAAAAACAATTTGTATGATATTTTTTATTTTATTTTTTATATATATTGTGCAATTTCAAAAATTTAAAATTTACGTGATACCGAAAACTAAAAATCAATACATAAATGTATTGGTACAAGTTAATGTTTCAAATTTCCTACGTCTCGCTCTTTTGGTTTCATTTTCATACCTTGACTTGACCCACGCATAATGTCTTTGGGGGCTGATTGGCACGAACCACAAATTCAGGACCTACACATTGCGCCTTATTGAAACATCTCATAGGTCCACCTACGGTTCTGTAAAGACGTGAAGGCGCTCTTTGTACCGCTTTTCCTCGCCGTGCTCTTGGTCCGTTCCTCACCATAATTCTGAAAATATTTTTACACAATTTTTCTTAAATTATTAATAGGTAAATTATTATAAAATTATAAAAAAAATTTTTAGAAAAAAAAGCGCGGTAAATTATAAGGTAAATGCAATATAAATCAGTTGATGGGCTGAAGAAATAAGATTCGCGATTCGTTTTTCTTCGTCTTTTTTTTGTAGTCTCGTGATTAATATGGATCAAGCCGACCGGAGGTTTTCATTCGGCATAACAGATCGCGATGCACCTAATTATGCAACGAACCAGAACACTTATGGCAAAATTTCGCAGACAGATATCACGTGAAACGCGAATCTGCTATATACAACGACGTTAACGAACTCTCACACCGAGTTTAATTAAACTTTAACTAGGGTAGACTCCGGATGCTTTTTTAGGGCAGTCATCACTAAGTGCCTCCTTGTTTTCTCTCTCTCTCTCTCTCTCTCTCTCTCTCTCTCTCTCTCTCTCTCTCTCCCTTCCTCCCGTTCTTCTCTTCTCTCCATCTTTTATTATTTGCGCCAGGACTTCGTACGAGAAGAACGAGTTGAGATAAAGGTCGAATCTCTCGAATTTTCCGAGGCCGAATCAATTTTTGTAATGTATCTGAAATGTAATATCTAGCGTAGTGAGTAGAAAATGTCTATGAAAATCATAAAAGTAGAAGAAAATGTACTTGTACTTGCGCGGCTTTTTAAGAGAGAAGATTAAAAAGATTGGATTAAAAAATACTATATATTAAAGTTTTATAAAATAATTTTATTATTATTTATAAATTGGAGAAATTTTCTATATATGTTTCTCATAATTAGTTAAATATTTGTCATAAAATATAATATTTTTGATTGGAATAAGTTTTTAAAAAATGTATAAAGGTAACGCCCATGCAAAGATCTTTCCTGGAATTTCAATTCCGAGTAATACTTTTAATGTCAACAGTACCAAGTTACATTTATTTTACTGATATTTTTGGAATTAAATGCCAACGCTGAAAATCGTTGCAGCAAATATTTTATGCCGGAAATGCCCGCTTTGTCAGAATAACAGTGCCGTAAAGGCAATTTTAATTTAATCATTTATTCCGATTTAATTTCTGAGTGTAACAGAAGTTGTATCAATTTCCCGTCTAACTACATACGCTTTCGTTCTATTTCCGCTCGACTAAATGTCATCGTAAAATCTAGGGCTCTGCAACTCTCGCGAAGGTCAAAGGTTCCTCGCAGCGCGCCACGTTTCGACCTTTCCACGGATGGCGCGGAGCAGTCGACCGGCATGCATTAGACTGCAACTGGCTGCATCATTCAGCTGGTTTCACGCGCTCCGGGCGTATCTCGCGCGCTTCGAAACCACGATGATTGCGTCAGCGGAGAGCCCCTTTGCAAGAGCGAACCCGGTTCGCTCGGAAACGTTTATTAACACGAACGTATGACTGGGAAGCAAAACTTAATAATGCGGGTCGCACGCGAAGATCCATATTTAACGTTCCCCTTGTGCCCTAATTTAATGCGCGCTTTCGTCGCAAGATTGATGAAATTCCGGCTGGGAAAGTGTGAATTCCGAGGGGGGAGTAAATATAAATTTCCAAATACTCCGCCTCGTGACCTGATATTATTTTATACAAAGTTGCGAGTCTGCGCGTCCTCACACGATTGTATAATAGCGTTGCTCGAGGAAACTCTCTGAGATCCTCAGAGGTCCGACTTCTCTTCTGCTTTTCTACGTTGAAAGATGCTGCATTAAATAAAAGGAGGTTTAATTAAGCATGGAAGTCACAGAAACTTTTCTTTCTTTCTTTTTCTCTTGCTACAAACGAAATTGATTATTGATTAAGATTTTATTCCAATAAAACTTGAACGGCTTGTAGCAACTCGAAATAACAAGTTGCATCGAAAACGCACGCTTTCCTCTCGTAATGAATTACGGCGTAGCTCGTTACTTAAGTCCCTGACGAACAATTCGCCCTGACGAACAGTCTTTTTTTATTTTTCATCGCGAAGCTAATTTAATAGATTGCAGTGAATTGCTGACGTAAATAATTGATTACGCAAATACAAAAGAGATGAAAGAAATTACCTGGGAGGCTTCGCCGGCGGTTCCGTTTGGTTGTTACACTCCGAGTCGGAGAGAGCAGCTTTTCTTAGGGTGGTGATAATTCGAGGTGGCTTCGGAGGTCCTTGTATCCCCCTGAGCCTTATGGAAGACACTGGATTTTGTTGCCGAATCGTCTGTTCTTCCTTTCGCGCAACGCCGACGCATCGAAGCTCGGTCGTCGCGACGCTCGGTTGTGATAATCGTTTGAATTCCTCGTCACCTTGCGTCCTGTTTGGCAGCTGGGGATTCGAGTGTTGCCTCTGCAAAGCTATTCTTCCCGGAGGTGCTCGTCCGTAAATATCCTCGCGAAGATGCTCGTTTGGTTGCGAGATCATATCGGGCTGAGAGCAACCGGTATTCGAAGAATGCCTGTTTTGGATGTGTCGTTAATTTCTCGGAGTAAAAATAGAACGTTACGTAAAATAGTCAGTTGGATATAAATAATTTTTATCTGATTTTTATTTTTAGTTCGTTACTTGAGATTAGAACTAAAACTTTTATTAATAAATAATTAGAATTATTTTTTTATTTGATTAAAAATTAAAGAAAGAATTTACTTTTTTATTTCACATTTAATTTTAATTTGTAAAACATTAAGAAATATTTCTGTTTAAAAATAGTTTATATCTCTCAAAGTATAGAAAGTTATTATAAAATCAATTCACTTGTCGCAATTCTCGCTTACGATAAAAGGAAGAAAAATTTAATTTGAAAAATTTGGAAACTCAAATTAGAAATAAAATTGGTTTGTTCTTTCGAAGCGAATAAATACGGATAATATTCTGCGCGTACCTGTTTATCGATAATGATGCGCCGTAAACATCGTCGCCGCGACAGATCGCGGGAGCTTTCGCTGATAGTCCGTTGACTCGCACGTCCTGGGAGCTCAGGAAGGGCTTAACCGGCAGGGCATATATCGGGTCGTTGTAAACATTTCCGTCGGGATTACCATCGGCGGCTGTGGCGTTTGTCGTCGTTGGCAAATTGCCGCTGCTTCTGGTGTGCTGGAGTCGTGTATAAACCGGCTGCGAGTAGGTTCTCGAGTGATGGTGAATCCGGCGTTGATGATGAGTCGTCGACGGCCCTATCGATCGGCTGCCACTTTGGATGTCCAGCTGCGATTGAAACTGCACTCTGCAGGTGTTCAGGGCGACTTCCTGGTGCTGCTGTTGCTGCTGCTGCGAGCCGCACAGACTCGTCAGATTAGGGTGCGACTGGGAATTGCGCGATTGCGCCCTGAAGAGCGCGCCCTTCGCGTAATAATAATTGTGATGCGTATGATCATTATGCTGTTGACCCCTCAGCGGCTGCTGCACGTGATCTTGCTGTTGTTGAAGCGAGCGCAATTGATTGGTCGGATGATAAATATAATCTTGCTGCTGTTGCTGGCGCTGCTGGATAGCCAGCTGATTTGATAAATGTTGGCCGACACGGGCGTGATGAAAAGATGGCAATTGACCGTTCACAGCTTGAATGTGATCCTGCTGCTGTCGTTGCGTATGATAACCATAGATTTTTTGGTGATTCGGTTGATTCATAATGTTTTGTGTGGGATGTAGGGCGTTTAATTGATAATAGGCTGCTCGCTTCCGCGCGGCGTATTGCGGCGACCTTACGACTTCTCCGTACATCTCCATCACGATATGCGTGAAGGGTCTCGTTTGTAGACGCGTTCGGCAATACTCGGATATTACCTGCAAAGGAAGGAACATGATAACATTGTCAAATCGTGCTTTGATAATGTAGATGAGTTTTGAGTAGATGAATATCTGATAAAATTGGAAAGAATTTTAGGAACTTCTGCACAAATTATTGTTTGATATCTAATTAATGTTGTAAAATATGACGTTTTTATGTATTTGAAGATAACATTTCGAAAAATTTAACACAATTTTTTTTGCGTTCATAATTGGAACAATAACAATTAATATTATTTCGCGATTTAAGAGATAAAATTATTTGATTTGCGCGATATACTTATATACGTCAGATAAACGGCCATGTAAATCTGAAAGTTCGTAATAATCATCGCCGACATAATATCATCTGCGTCGATGCGTTTATCGCGCTATCCAGCGAACCGATTATCTAGTTCTGAAACTTTCGCGTCGCCCAGTAGACGAACTATTAGCTTAAGTGAACAATGGGTATAGCCGGATTCTATAGATCCAGTAAGCTGAAATCCACGGGGAGAAGTGCCACTACCTATTAACGCTTCATTGTATTCCCAGAGGTGATAAATGCGAAACTTCGCACGGTTAAAAATTGCTCAGAAAAAGTAATGAAATATTATTCTCTTTTCGCGAAAATCTTGTAACGAAATCAATTTTCAATGAAAATGTTATGCACATAAAGGTGTTATTTTTGGACTTATCGATCGCAATGCTTGTTTCCAGCTTCATTATTTGCAATCAACTTAAGTAGCACGCAATCTATTTTAGTCAGGTGATACATCTCCGTAACTCTCGATTTCCCAAGGTAGGCAATTTCATGAATTGCAATCTTTGCAGTATTATCCTTGCAACAGGTAAAATGAGAAATTCTGAACTAACAGAAAATTATTTCTGCGCATTAAAACCCGAACAACCGATTTTATTGAATAATGCATCTTAAAATCTTTGATAAAAAATGGAATTTAAACAAATAGAAGTAGCGACCGTGGCATAATATAGATCGAAACGGCCTTTTATTTTCTTATGACGAATATATTTTTGCATATCGAGATAACAAATAATTAATTCATATTTTTGTTAAATTGGCATATTCAGAAAGCAATGTTTGTGACAAGAGCCATTATTATTCTTAACAAATAACAACAGCTGGTGCTCCGGTGGCTATCAGTTTGCGCCACACACACACACAATTGCATCCACCGACTTCGAAGTCAGTACGGCTGCCGTCTTAACCCCGGCGTGCTCTACCGCTGCCTTACGCTTTATCTGCGCGGATAGATACGACCAAGCAAAGTAGGGTGCTCCGAGCGGATAATTTATTGGCCGCCGAGGAATCCTCGTAGAAATTGAGGTTCTGCATTACGCCGCATGCCGCGTGCCTTCGCCTCCCGCCTACTCACCAGCCGATTTCATCAATTTCGGGGGTTATCGGGGTTGCAGCTGCAGAATTATCGCGCGGCCCGAGATGAACGACTTATTACGGCCGCCGCCTCGTCCTTTCCGCGCGATAACGACCGCGTTTTTGAGATTGTCGGCCGTTAATCATCGGGCTCGGCGAAATTATCATAGCTATAGGTACCACCGTATGCAATTTTACGTCCGGGACCGCTTTTCGTGCTCCTCGAGTCGCGCTAAACCCCTGGAAGATCCCCGGAATTGTACGTAGGCCGGTATCCACGAATTTATTCCTCGTAATGTCGCAGCACCGTCGCCTAATGACGTCCTGCGGTTGCATAAAGTAATCTCTTGAGAGCGAGATTTGGACTTAGCTCGCGCGGATTTATCAGCGCGCTCGCTTTAATCTTGATTCTAACTGTCGTAATCAATATACTCTAATTTATTTAAATTTTATTATAAAAAATTTTAGTACATAATTCTACGTAGATTTTTTAACCAATTTAGCATTAACATACTAAAAGTCAAATGGTATTATAGATTTTTTTGCATAAATACAAATCGTTTGTAAATCGAAAACGTGGGCGTTTTCGATATAAGGAGGAGAAATGGATTTTCATCTCTGGATTATGCACTCCGATTGAAAAATTCGGAAGTCTGGCGTTACTTGTGTGCTTTGCATTCGTGCGGAAATCTGCGAAATGATCCTCGTGGTGCATCCAGGCAATATGCAACGTGCGACCGCATTCTCTATTACGTTATCTGGCCATCCTAATATTTACATGTGAGAGAAATCTGTATTATGCACATTTCCCATCTGTTTGCCGTTCGATCAAAATCATTTAATCGTGGCGCGGACGCGGCACGAATCCATCGCCAGCGATTAAATATCATTTTGCCATTCGCATCTCTATAAATGCGATATTCGATAAACAGAGAGCTCATGTGCGTTAAATGTTAATTCCCTTGGTATGCACAACGAAATTGCAAGATTACGTATTGTCATATTGTTACCACCTGAAAAATACGTAACAATGTGATTCTAGTATGCAAACAGGAAGCGAGAGTTTTAATTAATGTTACAATAATTTTACTTAATATGCAAATTAGGTGGCCAATTAATAGAAATTAGTTAAATGTAATATCGATTGCATATACAAATGAAGTGTTCGAAGTTTATTTACTTAAATTATAATGAGAACATAAAGTAGCACGTCTGAGATATCATTGAGATTAAGCTTAATAGTGATATAAAAGTGCGGCTTTATTTAAATATGGTGCATGATAAACCGACTATACTCCTACAATCATATGACATATTTCACAATGTGAAATATTTTTCATCGCTTGTATTATTTTCATTATCTTTTTTACATGGAACTCTTCAAAACGTGTTACATGTTACACCGCAACTCATCGAGTGAGATTATATGCGGTTGACGGTTTCTGGAGCGAATATTCAATTAGTTTTCAATTTACACGTCTGTTGAGATTACATATATATATTACATGTCCATATATATTTTTTTATATAGAATATAAGAATTAATATATGTGTATATATGTAAAGACATTTGTCCGACTACAGATTACAGATAATTCTTTAGCGAATTAAAAGACACTGAATTAAAAGTCATTTTTCGAAAAGAATAGCACCGAAACAATTTCATTAAAACGCTATTTACGTATCCTTTTAATTGTCGACATTAAATATCTTGGTAAATGAGACTTAAATTAATATTTTATTAAAGTCAAGTTTCGGATCATCTTATTATTATTAAACTTGCAGGGCGTCTAACTTCTTACCATCGTAAATTGGATCTACGCTTATGTTAACCGTCTTAAAGTTATTTCGAAAACATTTATCTACTTTTACTTTATTACGCAACGCTTTGTACAACTAATTAAACTTTGTTATGTAACCTAAATTTTAAATATTATCTCTGATTCACTCGAGATTCACTTAAGTGCATTTACATTCGTTGCGACGTGATCTGTATTCCTTGTCACGCAAATCATTGGTGCCTGCCTGGTGCATCTCGAGTATCGTCTCATCGTTCATCTCGACGCACAAATGCCGCGCGTGTTCGCTCTCTCCGTGATAGGTGATTTAATTAAAGCGAGTTTCCATGCAGACCGACGGCGCACACTCGAGGGCCGCATGGTGTCGTGGCTATGATTAAGTCTATGTGGTGTATCGATTAATCCTGTATGAATATTCTCGAAGTCAGACGTAAAACACATAACACATGCAGCTAATAACGCTTCAAAACAACTATTTTAGGGGTACAATTCATAAATATTGATTATTCAATTCCATCAGAATTTAAGAATCAAATTTTTAAGCGAAAATTCTCCAGTGATAGTAAAAGGAAGATATAAAAATACTTGTGACACTGCAATGTTGTCGTTTGTAATCGCACCGTTTAAATGCAATACTTGATGTAACTTTGATATTATGAAACATGATAATATTTGTTGCACAATTGATGCTTTCTGAAAATTACAATTATTGCATAGAACGAAAATCATGAATAAAATTTATAAGCACGGCATTCTATATAAAATCCCATAATTCTTGCGATTATGTGAACATGAATATATTTGTATGTTAACATATGATTGCAACATCGAAACTAAACTAAATTTACTGCAACATTGCAGTTACAAGCTAAAGCTCGACACGCTGCGCGATGCATCTCGAAATTTCAATGTCACGATAGTGTCACGTATTATTGGCGACAAATTGCTTTATTATTCTCGCCGTAGAGACGACCCGGCCTCTCTTGACGCGCGCTATATACTCCGTATGTGTATGCGCCCAATTCTAGTCCGACGCAGCTGCTCGCATGGGCACGTTCGCAACGCTGAATTATTCACCATTCGTAACCGTGATGTGGAAATTAATTTTGCTACGTGCTATTATTCTTGAGACTAGTAGTTAACCGCAGATTGTCAAGATCAGAATCGCGGCGATACGTACCCCGAATAATACACGTACGTGTGCAATACATTTCATAATGCAATAATAACTATCTTGGGATATATCAGTCAGTACTCATTCAGATATTTAACTTAACGCAGTAGTATAGAATTTTCCTCTGTCAGATCTATTTCACTATCTTGCTTTAAAATGTATTTTCGGCAAATGTTAATGCAAACGCTATTTTATAGCAGAGATTGAATCTAAATGTGTTACATTTATCTGACGGCAGACAACATATCGGTCAATAAATAACAAAACGAAATAACAAATCAGAAAATCGAGAACTGTTTAACGGAAGATACGCGCGAAAAATGATTTTCGTGTCGATATAGCACGCGGAATGAAATACCGAACGATGAAGAGTCACTAGACGATTTATTTCAAACACTCGATGGTGCGCACACGGCGCACACAACAAACTTGGAAATTCCGAGCTGTACCTCGGCGGCAAAATCGACAGTCTCGGATTTTTATTAGCAGATTGTACATCGCTCCGCACAATTGTGTAACAACTGGCTCTCGCCAGCTATGTAACACGGATATGTAAACATGCAAGTGTTCGTACTGATGGCAAATGAATCTAGTATGACAATCTTTTGAAGAGTGCAAACAATACACTTTTAACGTGTTTGTAAGTAAATATTATATTGAAAAATCGAGAAAATATTATGAGAGAAAAGGGGGTAATAGCAAGAGAAAAAGTGTCAGAGAAAGAGACTTATATTAGATGAAAAAATCCTTTGTAAAATTGAGAACTTACATCTAGCAGATTCATTAAAGAGGCACGTCTGCGAGGATCAGGTTCCGTCATAGCAGCCAGTACCGATTGCAAAGCGGAAGAGGGCGATACGGAAACCGTCCCCGTCAATGCCGCTACTCTAGGAGTCGTATCCAATAATGCCCTTCCTAAAGAGTACATCCACATCTGTAATAAAATAAGAGATTAACTTTGTATTAAAGATTGATCAAAGGACGTATTAACAGTTTGAATTTGCGATAGACTTCTATATCTTATTATATCGAATATTGAAATTCTAAATATATATGTATATAATACGTTATTTATATAAGTTCTCTCAAGCAGCAAAATAATTTGAACAATCTATATGTATGTAAAACATCGAAGACAACATTTAAATAGAAAGAAATATTTCTACTCAACTTTATAAAATAAAAAAAAACATTTCTTTATTCAGAATAAAGTTCGGCTGTCGAATTAATAAATAAAAGACTCTTTCGAGGGACAGATTAAATAGAGAAAAATGTTTTCACTGATTTTGATTAAATTCTTGATATATTTTAAAACGCCGTTACTTGTTTTATTATGCGTATCGAATATTTTGTTCATTCTTCAAGCGCATATTTAATGAAAGAATTACGTAATTATTGAGAAAAAAATCAATTTGATCAATTTGATTTTTATATGTAATTATTTAAAATAATTATAAATATTACACATGTTAAAAAGATTTAATATTTATAGATTTTTAATATTGAAAATAATTTTTATTAAATTTTTGAAGTATTTTGAATATTTTTTATGCATTAAATTAAACAATAATGCAAAATTGCTATTATTGCAGGAACGTAATTATACATTTCGCAAATAATAAATTATTCATCTTACAATTGCTCTAGCATCAGGTTTCTTCGTTCTCTCTTGTTCCTCCCACGGCATTCACACAATACGTCTTTTATTTTCGCAAACATGGTTAATTATGATTACGTGTATACTAATTATCAGAATACAACAATTGCGCAACATTTTTGAGAAGCATTTTGTCATATCACGACGACAGAGTAACGCGAAAAGTATGGTCGCACGAAGCTTCGATCCGTTCGACACTCGTACAGAGCAGGCAACGGAAGGGAAATTGAAAATCTTGCGATAAATTTTCTACACAGTTATACGATAAAATCTTCACGATATTACATGTAAATTACTTTTATAAATTTTTTATTTGCAATACGAAGCGTCATATTATATTGATCAGTGCACGCGCAATCGTAATAACCTGTGTTTTCGCGAGTAAATGTTGTGTTGTGTAAATGCCATGGAGAAGTAACTATCGATGAATCATTGACGGCGAGTCCTGAAGGATTTCGACAACGGAACAATTATGAATAATTTATTACTTTTTATTTGCCAATAATAGTAATTGTTTATCCTCACGAATTATTAATGAAATATTAATTATTTCGGACACTATTACAATTTGAATACATTTGTATGTTACAGATCGATTGGATTACAACTTCGCTGTGCTGCACATCGTGCCGGTGAGTATCAAATATTTTTTTTTTAATGGATGGACTAGAATATATATAGATTAGAGAAACCTGAAATACATGCAATTATTATTATTGTTATTGTTATTAATTTATTATTTGTATGTATTTATTCTGCGCCAATTTTATTTTAATTTTCTCTAGTCTATCCATTTATTTATGAAGTATGTATATTTATTTTATAGTTGGAACTATATTGTATTGTATTATTTAATTAAATTCATACGTACATACGAGGCGTATTCTCTTAATTAAAAATTTGTTTGTACATGATGGACATGTATTAAACGGCAATATCGAAGAATAGTTGACAGGCCATATAATTCCAACTTTAAAATGGATGCAGATAGCAATATTTAACAAAAGTTGATAAGCTGAGAAAAAATTTCGAGATAATGATAATCTCAAGCTTTTCTCTCATACAAAATATTGATTATGTAACTTCATCCTTTCGATATATGAAAAATAAGCATCGATATTATTCGATATTTCTACTTAACATTTACAGAATAAATAATACATGGAATCTACAATCTGAGATAAAATTGCATGATTTTAAATAATTTTTTATCACAAAAAGTTTTTTTAAATATTAAATTTTTTTATCAGTTTTATTTACATTTGTTGGTATATTTTGTGTTATTTAACGGTATATGGTTATGTAAGCCAGCAATTAAATGTTAAAAAAGCGGGTTCTTTCTAATTTCAAGCCGCATTGACTTCAAATTATGACCGCAGCATTTTTGTTTATTTGCGCGATACGAGAGTGACGGTAACCGCGTTGCATTCATGTGCTACACGATTTTCACCGTGTACTGCGGTCGTGTCACAGAGATGATTCTAACAAGTCGTTCGTGCGCCGCATCATGCAGTGAAAAATGTAAGAGCGACAAACGCCGGAAAAGAGAACGCTTTTTCCCGCCGGCTTCGTGTTGCCCAGTAATCGTAGTTGTGATGCTGCCGCCGCTGCAGCCACCGGGCATTTTATGTTCTCCGGAAAAGTGGAGTCGCAACGTGAGTGTCGAGATGCATAGGATCTCTTCCTTGTCAGTGACGGATTTAGAATGTTTTGGACTAGAAATGTAATTTATATCAACCAAAAAAGTATTTTAGAAACTGACTTCTTGATAAATTGTGACCGAAATATTTTTTGATAAGCTAGAAAAACTATTTATAAATCGGAATTTTCGTAGAAAATACGTAAGTTAAATAATAAAAGACGTAAAAATGCGAATATGTTTAATACTGCAGCATATTTAATATGATTATTTTTTTAGTAGGTATAATATAAAACTAATATTTAGTAGGTATAATATTCTCTGGCTTCTGGTACGTTTTTTCCGTGATTTAAAGTTCACTACTGTTCCTTACAATGTCATTTAGAATCGGAACAGTTACGGAGAGGATACACAAGTCACTCACAGAGTTACTCTTTCTTTCCCTTTTATTATATTACAGAAAAAGCTTGTAGGAAAAGACGGCATTTCCTTTTGAATTTTCCGTCTACGATGTTGAATTAGTTTCCTCTGAAAGTCGTAGAAGTCCTTCGTTACCATCTTCACATTTAGGAAGTAATAGTGAATACTAACAAACTGTTAATTATTTCTAGCTAAGAAGCGCAATAAAATTTATTATATTTTTTATTGCATCCCCTGAAGTCGTGAAAGCCGCTCGCGTTTTCCTGCCTTTACTAAATTCTTGTCGCAATGAATCGGATTTTTTCTCGATATCAAGCTTTAGAGCATCGTTAATGGAAATGCGCCAGTATTTTATTTGATTGAAATTGAATATTGCATTTTGATGTTAGTTTGCGTAGCGAACTCAGATAGAGAAAAAACAAATTGGAATATTAGATTCTAACGAGTTTTATTGAAAGAACTTTTGTATTTTGCATTTAATCAATACTGTGCTTTCAAGTTAACCAATATCTTTCCGCGTTTCGAGCGTGAATAAATGTTCTTTATTCAAACTTATAATACTTTCTTAGTTTTTTAGTTTTGTGCCTTCATGGATTTTAATTTTAGAATAATATAGAATGTAAAATATATGTGAAAGTTGATAATGTGTGGACTCCTTTGGCCAAGTCCATTTCATTCTCAGTTTTTTGTTGATGTGACTTCATCCATGAACCATAATATTTTTCTTCCTTATATTAATAAAAAAGAAATTGTATTTATAAAACAAAAATCATTTTCATAATTTTCCGTAAGAAGTTCCATATAGTCGTAGAATATTAAATGGCAACATTACAGCGTCATATTTTTAGCGTGGAGTATATTCACTCCTGCTTTATGAGTCCATAAATATTACCTCACCACGGAATCTCCATTTTAAACATTACGAGATTTATTTCCGCATCAATATAGTTACGGACATTATCTGTGCATAAACGTAAATTATGTACAATTGTGTCTGTTCGCGTGATTAACGAGCATTGCGGATGCAATAGGATGTGTCAGGGTCGCGCGCTCCCTGCGAGGACTTATCTTTTCGTTAGGGGCGAGGATCAGACAGAGGGAGGCTTTAGAATCGGTAATATAAAAGAACGACGCACCGAAGTTTATTTATCGTGCGCGCCGTTTATTCTCCCTTTAATCTGCAGGAGATAAATACTGGTCCATGCTGAAACAACGAAGTTTTATCCGGCCGTTGACGGGAAGAAAGGATAGTGAAAGAGATCGCGACATGAAGGGGGGAGGTAGAGAGAGAGAGAGAAAGCGAGAAAATTTGGCGAATGCATTGGAAAAAATGCGACGGGGGATGTAGAAACGGCTCTAGGATTTCGCTAAAGATATGGAAAAACTGGCGTCCTCTGTTGCGTTACTCTTCCCGCTTTCGAATCCTTCGAACGAGCCTCGGTGCCGTTAAAAATTCATTCGACGCTGAAACGCAGAAGTCGAGCAAATAAAAAGTCGAGCTGTCAAAGGACTACCATGGCGGCTTAATCCCCTTCGCGCTGAAAGGATTTTAATAGAACGCGTTAATAATTCTTCCCGTGGTGCTCTTTTAATTATACTGGCTTTAATTATATCGGTTCTGTGTCCTTTCTGTAAATATCATTACTTATACACGCATACATGAGTAATTGATCAGTTGGAGCTGAAACTGTTTCTGATAAACGTGTTTTTATCTGACCGTTTCTCGATTGTTACATGTATTCTGCGACACGTAATTATACAGCTATGATTTTGTTTTGGATGTTTATCTTCATTATAAAATCGCTAAGTTTAGAAAAGAAAAATTTGGATAACATGTATTACGAACGAACTGAATAATGTGCATAGCTTTTCCGCGGATAGAAAATGTGCACATTTGCTAAGAAATGAAGAAAATTAATTCTAAATGTCGTAATTAGGAACAAGCTGTAATCAGCAATTTTCGTTATATTATTGAAAAGCGGAAATATAGAGCGAAAAACGCCGCGCTAAAATTTATCGAGCAGCAGATTTTAATTGAGACGCGACTTGTTATTGAATAATAGTGCGTTATTAAGCGCTTTACTGAATGTAACGTACTTTTTCCGAATCCGTATCCGAATAGACGCGACCGGGTCGATACTCCGGCGGCAGGTACGCCCGAGCAGTTTCCGGCGGTGCGAGCTGCAGCAAAACCCTCCCACGTGGTGTCAGTTCCAGTGTGTGTGGAGTCACCACTGGTCCTGCTCTCGAACCACCCACCACACCTCCATCTGAAACAAATATTAATAGGAAGTGCTGAGGTTGTCGTCAAAGCCATAAACTTATTTCTATCGTACTAGTTCGTGTAAGAAGAAAAGTTGGCAAAAGCGTCTGTAGACGTCTATATATGTCTATAACGCTGTTAGGACACATTATAAATCACGATAGGCAAGTGTAATTATAATTAGAAAAATAACAACCTATTGTTAAATAAACTGTTGCATCTATCAGAAATAAAAACTATGTTACGTTTGAAAATATATTACGCCTTTAAAATATATGAGTAAATTTTTTTTATTTAAAAAAGTTGCCATTTGGAAATTTAATCTTTTATAGAGAAAATTTTTACGCGTGACATTTATATAGTAAAAAACAAAATTTATTAAAAACTTCTAGGATTATAGGATTTTTCGTTAAAAAAATTGTATACGTAACAATTCTCTTTTGATTTTTATAATTGTGAAATTTGGAAGTACGTTTTTCTTCATCGAAAATTTGGCATCTTTTAATGTGCACTATCGCAATTTATCGCTCGGTCATATACGCGCGTCAAACTGCTTACAGAGTATTAAAGCTATAATTAATTCTTCGATTAGTTAGTCGGTAGGAGCAGCTGACAAGCTTAAAAGCAGGCGGAAGTTGGGCGCAGGTGCGCGTGTGGGGTTTCCTACTCGACAAAAGGGATTTTCCGGAAATTGCCCAGTTTATTTATCGCGTTTACGCGCCTCCTCACCATCTTGAATCATTTATTATTGCTTGTAATGCGCTGCGTGTGTCTTTAGTAGCTTGTTTTTTTCGAGATTTCGTGAAATCAAATCACTCTTGGGATGTAATTGGAGGAAAACTGCGTCAGAGTCGGGAAAGATTGAGGAAATCGCAAATTTTCTCCTGCAAATCTTATCATCTCGGGACTCGTAATCGCATTTTTGTCGATCATTTCGATTTGTGCTCCTAGTTGCTCCAATATCGATTCTGATTTACTTATCGACTCTTTAAGTTTTTCCATTCAAGGTAATAACGGAAGTTAGTCGAAATCAAGTTTTGTCATACTTTTCCTATTAAACGGACACGATTATTAGATAAGCACGACTCCGTGATATTATTCGGTAGTCATTTTGTAAGAACACCAGATTTACGTTAGCATGATTTCATTTTGGTGTCTTAATAATGGCTAAGTTGCCATATTTTCCATGCAAACGTCGCTTTTGTTTAATGGCAAACAGTCTGGGTTGAAGTGCTAGACCATCCATTATACAGCTCCCATTATAAATCCCGTATAATTCGCCATTGGGGTGCTAATTCTGCGCGTGTCATGGACATTAACAGCCTAATGGTGGGCTAAAGCGCCTTGACACGGAGAATATTCTCCTGCGAGTACGCCCTGGTAATTTAGGCAAGCGCCTCAACCGACAAATTCTCTCTCACTCCCTCTGCCCTATGAAAGCCCAAGAAAATTAGTGAAGGCTAGCAGAGTCGACATGTTAAACGATTAATATTGAATATGCTCGATTAACTTTAATTGATATTCGTGCAAACCATCACCATATTTTATTTTGTTAACTACAGGAAAAGTAGGATTATTCGTTTGAAATACTTAAAACTTATTGTATAAGTTGTGTCTCAAATATTAATACAAATTTGAAAACAAATATGCGCTTTTAAATTGAATATGTTTTGAGTTTTGATAGTTATATAGCGAAGAAATTTTTTTGCAACTTTTTGTACATTTTTTGTAATATAAAACAAACGTTTTCTAAAGTTTTAATTTAGTAGACTATAATTAGTTGTATAACAATTTGATTAATTCTCGTATTGTCAGCAATTAATTTGAACTAATTGTCCTGTGTATCGATGAATACGCTCGCGGCATGTTAGGTGTGCGACAATGTGCGACGCGTGTCGCAATCCGTTGCACTGTTTTGTTCAGTGATACGAGTCGTGATTTCTGATCGTGCTAGTAGTCAATCTCTGCGAACGATCGGACATGTTTCCGTGTAAATTAGAAAGCAGAAATATTGGACGAAACATTTCCAACGGTAAACTATTTCCGTTCTTCAAAGATTTAAGCTCCTAAGGAAATTAGGTGGGTTGAACAGATCGACGTGTTTCCTGATAAATCTCGACTAATCTCCAGATGGTGAAAGACGACTCGCGTAATCACATCTTTTGATCATTAGCGAAACGTTTCCGCAGCAGTTTAATTTCTATACATATATGTATTTCGAATTAAATTATGCGTAAAAACCTCAGACATATAATCTTCATATTAATCTAATTCAGCTGTGTTGATGCAAATATGATTTGGTTGTTTTTTTTAAATATCAATTTGCATACTGAACACGTTAATTATCAATGGCATTTGCATTTCATCGGCAGGAAGAAATTCACTGGATAAACTGTACAGCGTTACTCGGCATTTGCGTCATCTATCACTGTCGGTTTTTGTTGCTGCCAATGTTATTTCGTCCGATGTTGGACCAGTAGTCGATTTCTCTAAATGATTGAACTCGCTTGGACGGCGGACAATTCGATCGCCGACAAGCAAGCGCACGAAAGGTGCGATTCTCGTTGTACTGTAGGACAAAAATCACCGAACTAACACAGTATTTTGTTGCACACACATGTTACGTGTGCAACAAAACGTAAGCTCGCCGCTTGCAGAACGTTCTATCTAATAAAAGTTAACAGATAAAATTTCTTTGGCATGAAGAGTAAGAAGTTACCATTACTTGCAAAATTTAATACAAAATTGAAAAATTATATAACGACTTTGTGCGAAGACAGAAAATATAAAATAAACATATCTTTTTCATTCTTTATTTTATTTTAACATAATATTTCTCTTACGTATGTACAATTTTTATATTCTTTCAAATATCTGTAAGTTCAGTAAAACGAGGCTGGAATGTATTTTAATAACGTTGAATAATAATTATTTTTCTTTGTTTACGCAATTGTGCTAAAGACGCAAGTAAGTCTTTTGTGCAATTAACGCGTAACATTAATTGCTGTCAGCAAATTATTGTAACTGTTTCGCTAATGCGAAGTGAACTTTCGCCAGTGCATACAACTATAAACGTGTTTACGAGGTCTTCATACATGATTGATGATCTCGCGTATATTCCAAGCATTAGGTCGCCCTTTCTACATCTCATCACATCTCCCGCGTTTTCTCCCTGCTATGAAAGGTTAAAGCAGATCTAGCATTGTATCTGTCTTCCATCGATCTTCGTTTGGACAATGATGCATTATAGATAATGGTCGGGACGAAACTTTCCATTGAAGAACGATAATACGTATAGATATTTAAATTTCTTTGTGATTTTATCATAATTGATCTAGCTGTTTATGCAATTAAGCTGAGTATTTCTAATGTTTATAAAAATATATACTAAATAAAAAAAAGAAAGAAAAATATGATAGGTGATCTATTAACACTTTAGCCATGATTTAGAATCTCAAGAATTTTTTGTCAAAAATTTATTGTACCATATTATTATTTTTTTTTGG